AGGGGGAATAGGGATGAGAGTCCAGCTAGTCATAATAATAACTTAATCATGGGAACCCAAGGATATTGGGCCCAGTGTTTTGGTAGGCTGGAGAGCTGGGGAGAAAGCCCATATTTCAAGCTAATTGGGGAATGTGATTTATGACTGTTTATTGGAGGAGGGAATTGCACTTTGTTACTTTGTATCCGGGCACAGGAATTTAGTTTCTGGTTTCAACTATGTAATGCTGATACTTTGTTTCTCGAATAAAAGATTCTTTAAGGTAAACAATGCCTCGAAGTTCTTTTAAAGAGTTTCATCTGTCGGAACCATGACAGATGAAAAATTATCCAGTTCTGGATGTGGAAGTCTACCAAGCTGGGATGCTTGGCCCTGTGGCTGGTGGTCCCAAATTTGCATCAGCATTGATCATGGTGGGGAATATTATTGCTTTGCAACACTTCAAAGCCACAGGTTCCTCAAACCTTTTCTATCCACTGTATTACACTGGCAGGAGGAGTATAAATTTAGTTAAGAAGAGGTTATAACTCCATGATAAAACAGTGAGATTCTGCATGCTATTTTTGTAGGAGAGAGACTGGCAAAGCCAAGGGGAGGAATGAAGCGAGGAACTAGTGTAGAGTTTCTACATAGTCATAAGAAATTGAAGTCCAACCCCCCTTAATTGCTGTTGAACTTTATCTAGTTTTATCCAGATGCAAATCCATTAGCCTTAGGAGATTCCTGTGCTTAGGCTTGAGCAATAAATCAGTATTTTTGAACACTTTATATGTGGAGTTGATTGGCTGTGCCTGACAATTTTCTAGAACATAGATCAGCTTTCCTCGATTACTGTCCCCAGATATTTATTAAATTTGTAGAGTGTGACAAGAATGACTCTGGACAGCTCAAAACAATTAAAACAACAGAAAGAGTAAAAAAAAACCAACCAAAACAATACCATAAAACTATCCTAAAGCCATAATTAAAAATTCAGTAAAACAATCATAGTCTGCCAGTGAATATCATATATCTATTTAATACACCCATTGCCAAAGCTCATGCCCAGGCATAATGGCACAGCCAAAGCTTCAGGCCTTTCCTAAAGGAAGTCAATGGCCACCCTGGCAGGAAGTACTGAAACTTGCAGTTTTAGTATATCTGAAAGAGAAGGCTGTAATGGACAGTACTGCATATTTCTACTCAGTACAAGGCAGTTTTCTAGGTGTTTGAACCTTCTGTTCAGAATACTGTACATTCCTGCTCTTTGTACTATACTTTGACTGGATAAATAGGATTATGCAAAATGCGTGATGCAAAATAAATTAATAAAAATGATAGCCTTAAATAGTAATAAATACTGAATATTGCCTGCATTCTCTCTACCTTTGCGAAATACAATAGCTTTAAAGCAAGAGAAGCAGCAAGAGTGAAATATGCTGACAAATATTTTTACATTCTTTTTTTAAAATGGCAGTCAATAAATTTAGTGGCAGTTGGCAATCCTGTATTTGACAAAGTTGTTAAGGATACAGGAGCCAAAACTGCTATGATTTGCAAGTCTAATAGTTACTTTGACAGAGCAATAGTTACTTTGGATATAATGCTCAAATGACTTTCTCTTAAACTTTTGATTTGTTCCATTAAATTAATTTTCATCTTGATTCACAAGATGACATTGCAGTTCTCAGTGGAATATTTGGGAACAAATGTAGATTACAAGAAGCATGTATTATTTATAATGTGCTGGGGATGCAGATATTTAAACAGAATGAAAGAAATGATTATCCAGTCTTCAGAAACAATGAGTCCCCAATCAAGTCTAAGGAAATAAAAATATGAATAAATGAAAACAAAATTATAGGAGTCTTTATACTTCTTTAGAAGCAAAAATGCACAAATCTTTAGAAGCAAAAATGCACAAAGTTCTGATTTTATTAAGCTGGGAGTTCAGTCCTTATTTGTCTCCCTATTAGAATTGTAATACTTTATCTTATAGGATTGTACCAACAGTGAGAGCACTAAACTAATTTGAGCTGATTTTGGAAAAACTAAGCAAAATTGGTATTTGGTATTTGAATGGGAGAGCCCTAGGAATTCTGGGGACTGTAGATTAGATTAGGAAACTGAAAAAAAATCTGAAAATAATTGCAGAAGATTTCCATACCATTGCCCCCAAACCAATATGGACATGTCTGTAACCTACTCCATGAGACAGATCAGATAAAAAAATCAACTCTATAGGAAGACTAAAACTATATTTATTGAGACTAACTACAGTAATTACAACAACAGAATTTGGCAAAATTCTGTTGTACCTCCCCTCTTTCTTCTACTCTTTTGCTTGAGTTGCTTCCAAGTATTGCCTGGTTGCTTTGGATTTAAAAATGTTTCAGCCATCTTTGTCCATTTAGGCAAATTCTTACATATTTCTATCAAATCCATATTTCCTTGCTATGTACAGGAACAAATACAGAATTCACTTAATTCACTAAATCTTATAGCCTCACAATTGCTTGACAATACCAGCTTCTTCTGCTACTTCTAATCAGGCCACTATTGCGCTGCCTTCCATGTTTAGCCTACTCATGTTAAGGATTGTCATTGTGTTCTGGGACTGCCAATGGGGCAGGAGGATGCTATGGACGAACTGCTGAAGATGTCTCATTGTGATGGAAGTCCAAGGCAAAGGTAGTGGACAGCCATATAGGTCACTCTCCCATGCACTACCTAGCATCAATTGCTCCATTCTTTATAAAACCACATGCATTATAGCCATTTATATCCGAAAGCCTTTTGGTTCTTATCCAAGAATAAAAGCAACCTGCAGGGACCAGCCTTCCTAGGAATCCTCCATTTGAAAATGAGATGGTAAGTTTCAGCAACCTGCAAGGACAGCTGAAAACACAACTCTCTAACAAACCACTTTTTTCCTCTTCTTGCATTGTTCTCCATGATCAGCATTGATGTGAACTCATTGGTTCTTCACCTACATTTCTACATCAGAGTTAATCCCCTTCAGTCTATCCCTGCAATGAAATCATAAAACTACTTTGCATTTTAAATTAAGACACCATTAAATGGAATAAAGATATTTTTGAAATGGGATGACTCCCAGCTTTTTTTTAACACTTCTTAGCAAGCAAAAGGATGTTGTTTTCTGACTGTCCTGTTTGACCCATTTGTGATTAAGTGTTACAGAGGCACTGGGAGAAAAATCAGAGTTTTTCATTTTCATGCTTCTAAGCCTATCCTTTCTCTAACTCTGCTCCATTTGCCGTTAAGTGCTTCTACTCTGTGGTTTTCAAGTCATTTAAACTGCTTCCTCACAAGTTCATTTTCAAATTCTCAACCAAGCTTTCATTGCCACAAATACATATATGCAGTACAGTGCATTCAGAAAGTATTCAGACCTTTTTCTTGGCCAATTTTGTTATGCTGCAGCCTGATTCTACAGTTGTTGAAAGATCCCTGACTTGAACCCTATTGAACTTTTCTGAAGGGACCTGAAAATGGCTGTCCACTGATTGTTGCCTGACTGAGCTTAAGATTTGCAAGAAATAATGGCAGAAAACCCCACAATCCAGGTGTACGTCATTCCCCAAAACACCTGAGCCGTAATTGTTGTCAAAGGTGCTTCAATAAAATACTGAGTGAAGGGGTCTGAATATTTATACCAGTGTGATATTTCAGGTTTTTCTTTTTCATAAATTTACAGACATTTCTAAAATTCTGTTTTCACTGTCATTATGGGGTACTAGGCATAGATGAATGAGAAAAAATGAATTCCAACAACTGTAGAATCAGGCTGAAATTGACAAAAGTGAAGGGGGGGCTGAATACTTTCTGAATGCACTGTAGATGCATACAACAGGTCTGCAGCTTTGAAACAGAAGCTAGCAGTTGTTCAGGAGTCTGGTGGATTAGTTCATTTCTGCATGTGATTTATAGCATGTTCCACAATCATTCAACTAACAATGTGCCAACCTAACAGTAATGCTTTATCTTCATTCACAGATGTCTAAGTGATGTTGCGAAGATGTTATGCATCCCTGCTAGTCTGGAAAGGCACCCCAAGAAACCTCCATATTTAACAAAAATAGCAACAATTCAGGTCATTCATGCAAGGATAAATGAAAGATGTGACACCCTAAAGGTGCTTTTTCAGGAGGCAATTGGACTTTGTTTTTCTTTGAAGACGTTTTGCTCCTCTTCCAAAAAGCTTCTTGAATGAGAAGCGAAACGTCTTCAAAGAAAAACATAGTCCAGTTGCCTCCTGAAAAAGCACCTTTGGGACAACCAGGACCTGGATGATCGAGAATCTCCCTAAAAAGATTTGACATTTTAAAAGACCGAGGAGTGGGCATTGCACAGTTTTGCATTTGCAATTTTTTGGGAAGACATTTTAAAACGTCTTTTAAAAAGACATAAAACCTTGCTGGAGTAAGGCACTTAATACAGTGTCTTGCGCAGAAATTTAGCAGAGACGACAGCAAACCGCCTGTGGAAAAGCTACCTCCAAGGTACAAAAGATCAAACGCAGGAGAGGGCAACTCCAGGACTTTTCTTTCTTTCCTTCTTCCACGACAAAACAATGACATCATTGCTTGGAGTGGCCGAATAATTGGCGGGGAATAACAACGACTTCAAGTTTGGGTGCTATGAAAGCTGTCATGTTCGGTCATCTTTAGAGGGAGTTTAATAACAGTATTCTTCCTCCGGTGGAGATTTGCATTACTTCACTGAGTTCGCGCCGTTGCAAGCCGGCTTTGCGGCACGTCTTCCTACTCACTCTGCAGACTAGAACCACAGACTCGCCGCCGCCATGAACGTCAACCTCGACCGACCGCTTTATGTAACGTTGCATATGAAAAAAAAAAAAATCGTTATTAAGCATCACAGGTTTAAAATATGCCAGCGGTCGCCGGGAGATGGCGCCGTCGAGCTGCTCCGAGCTACCGGTTTATTCCCTCCCTCCAGACTCGCACGTGGCCCGCCGCCTCCCGGGTGAAAAGCGGCAGCCTCCTAGTCCTAGCTCCACTGGCCTTTTGCAAAGTGAGCAATGCCGTCCGCGCTGCGTGTGCGGGACAGCCGTAGACCCAAATGCAAGCTCTGGGCAGTTTGGGGGAGCGTCGGTTTCAGCAACAGCTCCCGACGCCGCTGAAACGAGCCCTCCGTACGGGCTGCAGGGGCGAGGCAAGACGCCCTGCAGAGGAACAAGTGGAAACGGTAGGAGGTTTTCCCTCCTGAGGCGGAGGATGGCTGCGAGGGATGAGCCCAGTTGAGAAAAGGCGTGTGAGGGATGTCCCGTTATTCCTGAGCTGCTGCTGAAGGGGTGGAAGGTTTTGTGCCGGGCTTTTCCTTGGGAAGTGGGGCGCCGGGGGGATGTTTGCACCAGCTCAACCACGCACTTCTCTGCATCTGCTCCAGGATCCACCCAGTCTGTTTATCCCGGAGGTTTGGTGAGGGCACTTTATTGCCCCTCTGCTCCGCCCCACCCGTTGCTCTCAGTGTGTGTGCCGGCCTGAATGCGTCGTCTAGACAGTTGTACTTTTCTCTCTTCTCTCCTCCTTTCCGGGGTCTCGTACGCAAACCGTGCCAGTCCCAGCTGCCCTGCCTTCTCCAAAGGAGCGGGTGCGCCTTGTTATCTGGGGAAGATACAACCACCACCGCCAATGGAACCTGTTTTGCAACGGGCGCTTCGGCTGCCGGTTCTTCGTGGGGCAAATAAGCCACTCATCCCGCTGTATTTCGCTGGACGCGTGTGAGGGCGCCCACCTTTCCAGGATCTTCTGGAGGGTGACTCGAACGCCGCCTTTTGCAAGCTCCGATGTCACTTTCTATCTTTTGCCCGAGTCACTTCAGTGTACGTGCGGCTGTTCGTCCACAAAGGGGGACGCGGTCTCCTCAGTCCTCTGAAAGAAGACCATCTTGCTCGAAGGTGTCTCATTGAAACTACAGAATTCCCTCTTGACTTTCGAGGAACAGTCGAACTAAGGCTGAAGATCGTCGCTCCGTTTTGCTGGGCGGTAAAACTGCTAGAACTCTCCTTTGCTCCCTGGCTATCAAGAGGCACGGAGGGAGGGTGAGTGAAGGGTTTTGTTGGCCTCAGAATGCTCCACTCCATCTTGGGGGACTCTCCTTTCTTCTGAACAAGAGCTGGCAGAAGAAACTTTGGGAGAAGGAAGGGCTGACTTTCTCTTTACACAAAAGCTCTTGTTGCTGGATTCTGAAGGCTGTTTGACTCCCCTGAGACTCAGTTGCCTACCTGGCCCAGCAATTGTATTGGTTAAGGAAAGGGGTTATTTAAGGACCCTCAGGGATTGGGGACAGAGACTTCAAGGGATCCTTGCCTCATTCCTCTTCAGTGGTGCTCAGAGGAAGCTTGAGGATTTTCCCAGGAGATACTTGGAAGCTGCATCTTTCTTGCCGTGACATCAGGAAGAAACTTTGCCCACCAAAATGTCCAAAGTGGTGGCTTCCAGTGGAGTTGGAACTTCGGCAGCATCAGAAGGTTGTGGGGTAGGGCAGGCTGAAGACCTCTCTAAGGTTACTGATGAGGAGCTGCTGAAATGGAGCAAAGAAGATCTCATTCGTAGCCTTCGTAAAGCTGAGTCAGAGAAAGTGAGTGCCATGCTGGATCATAGCAACCTCATCCGGGAGGTCAATCGCCGCCTGCAGCTCCACCTGGGCGAGATCCGGGGGCTCAAGGTAAAAGGATGCTTGCAGGAGAGGGAAATGGGAGGAGTTGGGAAGCAAAGGCAGGGTGAGAAGTTCTTCTAGTCTTTGCAATTCACAATGCAGCTATGTAGCCCCTTGCAGAAAATCCAGGATCATATAGACGGCTATAATGAAAAAAGGTAGGGATGGGCAAATTAGGTAGAGATTTTGTTTGAAAGATTGTTGTGTGTGCTTTTGTTCTGGTCCTCCGAATAAATGCCTAGCATTAAGTTTATTTTCCTCCATCTGAACTTCTCCCAGGCCACTGGGAAAACAACATCCAGAGTTCCCTCCACCAGCATGCTGTAAATAGCCACAGAACTAGGTTAGGAAAAGTTGCTAAATGTCCTTTTTAACAATTGCTGAATGTTGGATCTTGGGATTCTAGTAAAAGGCAAGTGGGCTCCACAAACTGCCTACCCCTACACAAAGGCATGTTATAAGTTGGTGGATATTGTACAGGAGAATTTCAAGGTTGATTTAGCCTCACTCTCCCACCCTTAATTATATGTAAAAATACAATTTTAGTTAACCCACTATTGTTATTGTCCTTGCCAAAAAAGTTTTCTTTGGACTTAGTCTCAGAAGACATAATAGCAGAAGGTCTCTTGTGTGTTTGCGAAGTACATTCTATCCCAAAGGTGCTTTTCAGGAGGCAACTGGACTTTCTTGTTTTTCTTTGAAGACGTTTGGCTTCTCATCCAAGAAGCTCTCATCCATGAGTTCCATTCCCCATCATCCAGTGAAAGCTGAAGAAGCTTTTTGGATGAGAAGCGAAACGTCTTCAAATAAAAAAAACAAAGTCCAGTTGCCTCCTGAAAAAGTACCTTTGGGACAACCATGACTGAGAATCTCCATAGACAAGGTACATTCTAGTTCAGTTTTTCTGAACCTCAGCAACATTTTAAGATGTGTAGCCTTCAACTCTCAGAATTCCCAGCCAGCCTGCTAACATGGATAGGAAAAAATGAAATACCAACATTTTAATCATTATATGTGTTGAGGATACATGGAGTGGAGTGGTTCTTGCTTGCAAACCTATACCTAGTTTTATTTATTTGTTTTACTGTAATTGTATACTGCCAGATTAAAAAGATGATTCCAGGAGGTTTACATCCTAAAAACATAACAACATGATAAATCTAAAATCAATTTTCTTTTCTTTATGTGTGTCTGTGATACACAGTGAAATGCATATCACTGTGATTGTTATGTACTGCAGTGAAATGCTTCTGTTGGTATAAAGTACTAGTTTCAATTTGTAGCTTATCCTGTCCAAACATATTTGGACAGCATACTTGGAAAGATACCCTGTTGCGATCAGGCAGAGTTTACTGACTTACTGACAATTGCTTACATATGCTGCCCAGGATACTGTCTTCTGAGGCAGTCTACAAATAACAGAAAGATATTCTTTGCTGCATTTTAATTAATGCATTCAAATAATAAAAGGACCTTACTACTGGAAAGTTGATGTAAAAGGCCCTGTGGAAGAACAGAAGGCAGCTGTTTAATAATATCCTCCCTGAGCGCTGCCTTATCTCCTGAGTTTTTTATACAGTGATTGCTGGTAGGTAGCCCTTCATCTGGAAAGGCCAGTCCAGTAGGAGCAGGCACTTGACCTGATCATAACTACCCCCTCAACGGTCCTTACCAATACATACCTAGCTGGATTTTATTTTAGACCATTTCTGCAATACTGATTTATAAAGGCTTCTGACACCTTTCAGGCATTGTTAAAGCAATATTAATCCTGTCCTCATTATCTTCTGAGTATCAGGATAGATAAACCATGTTATAAAAGTCCCAAAGGTGCTTTTTCACAAAGCAAATTGGATTTTCTCTTTTCTCTTTCAAGACGTTTTGCTTCTCATCCAAGAAGTTTCTTCAGCTCTGACTGGATGGTGGGGAATGGAAGGATTTATACATGTTATAAAAGACTAACCTCGAAATAGCTTCAAAGAGCTCCCTAAAAATCCGTAATGGAGACAGTACTCTTTAAGTACCTTTAGCTGAGTTTGGCTGGTTTGCAAAAGTTAAGCGGGATTGGAGATTAGTATTTGGATTAGTATTTGGAAGGGAGATCACACGGAGATCTCAAGGGTATAGACTGCGCTGTGAAGTTGAAAAAGCAGCAGCAAGAGTTTTCTGAAATTGGTGCAAAAAGTACAGATGTGGAAATAAAATCTAAGCTTGACTAAAGGGAATATTTTCATTTTAGTCTATGGTGGGTAAGCACCAAGCCAGTTTTAACTGATCTTAAAGTAAGATAGGTCTGATATGGTTAATTCTTAGTTAGGAAAATACCAATACATTCCAGCCGGGTAGTTGTGACTGTCAAAACAACATTCCAGAAGGATCCTGTAGCAAAAGGATATGTCTGGGAAGTCATCAGGAGTTTTTTTTTCAGGGAGTTTTTTTTCCTTTGTATATCTACATTATTTTTCATGGTTGAAATTAAATTTGTAAACAGCACAGGAATGAGACCTCTGTCTTCCTTCCTCTTTTGAAAATGGACTGATTTCTTTTTTTTTTTTAATATTTTTTTATTTTTCCAAACTCTCCCCTATACATTTACTGTGATATTTATCAGATGTTAACATACATTCTTTTTACATTCATATATAAGATACTTTTAATAAAATGAAATAAATACATACACATGACTTTTGGTGTTGCTTGCCCATTTCCCCTTTCACTGTATCCACACTCCTTCTTCTCTACCTTCTTTCTCCCTTTCTTCTCTTCCCTACTTCCCTCTTCTTCCTCTCCTCTTCTCTTTCCTTCACCACTCTCCTCCCCTTTCTCCCCACTTCTCCTCTTCTCCTCCAACCTTCCTACTTCCTTCTCCCTTCCTTTAGTCTTTTCTCTCTCCTCTCCTTTCTTCCCTCTCATCCCTCTTCAGATACAATTCAGGGGTAATGTTCGAGCAACACCTCTCTCCAAATTTCCCTATCTGTATTATATACAATAAGATTAATTTTCTCTTACATTAATACTTCTATTTATCTAACCTTCTCGGTAGATACTTCTATAAATATTTATACAACCTCCAGTTATTCAATATTGTGTTGCCTGGGTCTCCCTCCTTCTCTGCTCTTTCTTCTTCCATCTAAATTGATGTTAATTATCTTTTAACCGTATTCTCTTTTCAGCCAATCATAAAAAGTTCCCCAGATTTCATAGTAGTCTGACTCTGTCTTATCTTCAATTGTCATTGTTAGTCTATTCATTTCTGCACATTCCAGTATTTTCCCAATCACCTCTCCCTCTGGGGGGGGGGCTTTCAGTGCTTATGGACTGATTTCTTAAGTTCAAGAGGTTGTGTTAATTAGTAAGCAAAAATTGTGAAATGGGAGATATTAAAATATGTAAATTTTTTTTCAAGGCAGCATGGCAATCTTTTCTATAAGAATTGGCCATGTGATAAGTGGTTTGCTTTTGTCTCCTCCAGTGAAGGAGAGGCCTTTCCCCAGCATTTGGAGCATTCTAAGTACGGCCAGTTGAGGAGATGCTCAAGTGACCTACTCTTGAAAATAAACTTCAGGAAATGTTACCTATCTCAATGGGTAGCAGTTTCACAGGACTCAAAATAGAGAAATCCCTTCCTACCATGTTTCCCCAGTCTTTTTTTTTTGCCTCCCAAAAAGGCAGTAAGTCTTACTTTTGGCGGATGTCTTATTTTTTCCCCGACATCTGCCTTGCCTCATGGCAGCGGCACCAATAGCTCCATCCAGCAAGAGCCCACATGGCTGCTGGCCTGCTTCTGTGGCCACTTGCAGCAGGAGGCCGTGTAGCCATTGCCACGAGGCGAGGAAGCTAGGGGAGGGGCTGGAGCTGCCCAAGTGCCCCATAGGCACCCAAATACTTTTCTCTCGGACGGACAAATGACGGAGACTGGAAGCTTTGTCTGCTTGAAAGTGGGGTGGTTGGAAATGGAGTGAATCCCTCAGTTTCCAAGTGCCCCATTTGCAAGCTTCCAGTCTCCCTCTGGGCGAAAAGTGTGCAGCCTCTGCACTGGACTTACCTGTGCTGCTCCAAAGACGGTGGGCTGCGGCGGTTGCCGGACACATCAGCTCCCATGCACTTGCCACCGCTTGTGCTGGCCATGCCCACCACCAAGCTTATTTTTGGAGTAGGGCTTATATTAGGCCAACCCCAAAAAATCAGGTTAGGGTTTATTTTTGAGGTGGGTCTTATTTTCAGGGAAACACAGTATCTATTAGAGGAATTTGTTTAGTTGAACGTAGGAAGTAATGGATCATTGTGGCTTGTCGACCTTGTGTAATAAACCAGGTAAGAACCACAGCCTGATGAGCTAATTCTCCTTATAGAATTAGTTACATTCGTTACATTAGATCATCTAATTCTAATGTAACTTGTAAAGAATCTTGCAAGTCTGAATTCTCTACCTATCTCCTTTATAGCCCAAGAAATTAAGGAGAATCTCTTAACCTCTGCTGCTGCCCACTATCCAATTGCAGGCTATGTTTCTTATCTGACACTTCCCTGGCAGCATCTTTTTGCCCAGTTTTCCAAGCTCTTTCCACATACTATTATATCACTTTCCCCTTCAGACTCATCCTCCCCTCCTGAGCCACCCAGGGAGATAGATTGTGGGTTGGGAAAACAAAATCTAGCTCCTCTCATCTGCTGATAACTCTCCAAGACCATATGAGGCATTCCCTAAATCAGGTACACCAGTAGAGCCACCCCTCCATTGGGAATCTGTTGATCTTTCCCTCTCATATCTGTATATATGTCTGCAATATTTCCCATGGTTACCCCCAAGGCACCCTCCCCACCAAACAAGAACCCCTTCTGTTCATTTTGGTCAGTGCCAAACTCTGCAAGTCTAGTAGTTGGCAAGCAACTACTATTAGGGTATTGGTTGTAAAAGCAGTGCACCAGTTACAGCTCATGCACACCTCTTGCTGCCTCCATGATCTTTCTGATTCTGGGTATCTTTTTTCAGTGTACGCTGGCTGAGG